ATATATATATATATATACACACACACACACACATTAAGCGTATAGTCATATATATATAAAATATTACAATTATATTATTTATTATAAAATGTAGGGCACATGTCCTGACAATACATTAATCTACAATAATTTACTTCTGTAATGTTGTTAATAGAGCTGTAAAAACTGCATTTAACCTGAAATATTCCTTTATTTTTGATCGGAAGAACATCCAACAACAACATAAGTTGCAAACTTTCAACCAGTCTGCAATCAACACCCTATTCCAGATCAATTCCCAACGGCTTCAAGACCTGTCAGACATACAGGCATCCAGTTACAGATCGCCCGCGGCGGGTGGGAGAACATTTGGTGCGTCTAGCAAAGGTAAAAGTGACGTCATGAAAGCGATCGGCGCTTGTTACGAGAGCCATGACTCACACGGATCTAATAAATAATAGAGTCTTGTGGTGGAGGAGAGAATCAAGAAGTTCGTTAATGCTGACAGAGGAGTCTCTCAAGAGCTCAGCCGAGCAATGAAACACTGTGTGTGTGTTTGGGTTTTAATGAGAAAGAATCTGACGTGAAGCAAAACTAGTTCATTCAATGTGTCAAACAATGTATTACCACAGTTTGGTAAGCCAAAAAAACGGAAAAAAGCATGTTCGATTTAGCTTTCTGGTAGTTTTCTGAGTCACTTTTACATCAAAATGTGACCCAAATGTAAAGAAAAACATCGGCCCGTCGCTGCACAAGCACTTCCTGTGAGGAGCGGCGCATGTACGTGAAATAGCAGATGAATGGCGGTCTACTCCCGCCGCCTGTGGTCCATCACACCTCATAAGCTTCATCTACAGACTCCATAAATCCCCCATGCGCCACATCATCCTAGTTTTCTCATTTTCCCATTAATCTCGCCTCCCTTCCACTCAACATGTCAGCGGCTCCTCTTTGTACGAGGAAAGCAAACTTTGCACCAAATGTGGGACTCCTGAAAGACTCTGATAAGATGGGGAATCACAAGGAAGTTGAAGTTGAAAGATGTAGGTTTCTAACCTAAAAATCAGATGTCACTGAGGCGCTCTCCTGATCTGAATTATATACAAGTAAAATAAACACTATACTCAACATAATTACAAATTATTTTATTAAATAGTTACTGTTCTAGTAATTGAAGTACCCAAAACTGAATAATTTCTGACAGAATAATTAAAAAAGATCTGCTTCATAAGAGTCACTGATTCACAGATTGAACAACTCTGGTCACGCTGTACGTTTATTTGTTTGCTGTTTGAAGACGTGTTGCACTTTGCAACATCCATTTAATATCCATTCAAAAAGTAGTTTGGCTTGAAACAGATTAAACAACCAAGTCTTAAAATAGTCATAAAATGGGAGATAACACAAATAAAACTGAAAGACATCACAGTTACCTGGTAGTATCGGTGGACATGTTCCTTGACGTAAGACGCGTTGAGAACTCGTCCATCGATTGTCTTGACCACCACGAGTTCGCCCGGTTCTGGAGGGCCGTTCCTCAGGCAGTCGTGACTCTGAGACAGAGAAATCAAAGAGATGATGGATCAAACGGACAGTTGTAGCTCTAAAATCTGATTGGATGAGCCAAAAGGAAACCATAACAAGCTACAGTTAGATTTCGACCAATCAGCATTCAGGACCAGAGCCAAGCGTTTTACGAGGCAATAAGCCACAAGAGGCTGTACATTACAACGGTTTTATTATGGCTAAGATGGTTTCAGCTACTAAAAGCTCCAAAATCTGACTGGATGAGCCAAATTAATGTGCTAAAAACAATTGGCAACCATAACAAGCTACAGTTGGATTTCAATCAATCTAGATTTCAACCAATCAGCATCCAGGACCTGCCTTTTAGACAGCAATAAGCCACAAGATGACATATGTTACAGTTTTTTTTTTTTTTTCATGATTAAGGAAGTTTTAGCAACCAAAATCTCTAGAATCTCGTTGGATGAGTAAAATTAATGCGCCAAAGTGTAGAAGCCCGTTTCCACCACTGAATAAAAAAAAGAAAAAAAAAAAGAGTGTGACTGTTTATCTCACAATTCTGACTTTCTCTCGCAATTCAGACTGTTTTCCTCGCAAATGTGAGTTTATATCTCTATCTGCTTTTTCCCTAGCAGTTCTAACTTTTTTCTCGGAATTGCTAATTTATATCCCGCAACTCTGACTTTTTTCCTCGCAAATCGGACTTTTTTTTCTTGCAATTGCGAATTTATATCATGCAATTCTGACTTCTTTTCTCAGAATTGTGACAAACTCACAACAGCATGTAATAAAGTCAGAATTGCGAAGATATAAACACAATTCTGAGAAATTAAGTCAGAATTGTGCTATATATAAGCTTTTTCTGAGTTTACGCATTTTAAGTGTCTCGCAATTCTGAGAAAAAGTCAGAATTATGAGTTTATATCACAATTCTGAGCAAAAAAAGTCTGAATTGTGAGATGTAAACTTGCCACTTGGCAACCATGAAATTTTTTTTTCTTAAATTCTAGATTTCCAACAGGATCCAGGACTATGCATTTTATAACGCAATTCACCACAAGAGGCTGTATGTTACAGTGCTTTTACTAAACTAAAAACCACTGTAAATCCCTAAAAAGTGACTATTTGTTGGCGTCTCACCAGCAGGTTCTCTGGGAAGATGTTATCACAGTAGGAGCCGTCGTCAAAGTTGACCTCATAGTAGTTTTGCGTGCCAATGCCGGTGATGGTGCAGCGGTAGAACCAACCGTTGCTGCTCCTGCCGATGACCTCCTGACCCAACGACAGCTCGCGCGAGCCGCTTTTAACCTGCGGCGGAGGCAAACCGTCAGTTTGAGGATCACCGTGTGCTTTAAGATCCCTTCTATAGCGGCTACGCACCTTCTTATTGGTCTTTTTGTGTTTGTGGCAGGTGACGGACACCACATACGGCCAATCGGCCGGTTTCATGATGACTCCGGCGAGGAGGGAGCAGGTGACGTGGAAGGACGTGGAGCAGTTGTCCAACGAGCACTGGATACACGC